GCGCCTATAGAAGACATTTATCACAGAAATTGAGTTTATTGATGTGACTTTAAAGCGTCAGTGTTGTGGCACCGCCCTGTCCGTTGTTGTGACCGTGTCGTCTTTTGTAAATCCATTAAAACTGTATAACGTGAGGTAACCCTTATCTTCAGGTGTGCCTCACATGTGGGTCGAAAAAAGGGTAGAAGCATTATGATGCTGGAGTCGAGCGACGAGTACACGTAGGCTTTATATGGAAATTGCGAGCAATGTTTTGTGAAATTTATTGCATTTCAATAATATGCTTATTTAATCTACCATGTCTTCTACGCATAAATTCAGATGCATGGAAGTACCATCAATCCTACACGAGCTATTTCACGTTGTGGGAATGACTCATGAACATATGCGTCATGATCGGGATAGATACATCAAAGTACTTTACAAAAATATCGATAGAAGTAGGTTACCTTCTCCTTTTTTAAATTGAATAACTTACCAAAGAAGGATACTTGGTCAACTCGGTCATGCTATATGCGATGCCTATAGCTGAAATAGGGTTTGAGGAATAGAGAGCTCTTCCGCCTTTACCATCTGCGGAGCGTGCCTCTGAAAGAACCTATGAACGCTTTCTACTACCTCATTAAATTTAGGTAACGAACCGCTGCATAAGCCCGCTGTACTGGTTGGCCAGTTGGTAAGCATGCAATTTATGGAGCAAGTGATAAAGAGTACAAATCTTACTGCAGCCAAAATGTCTTGGAATTTGCAAGCAGAATTTCTTACTATTGCAAATGGTGTACTGCGCGTTTTCTCATGCATTATGGGGATTTTTGCAAAACAAAAAATTGTATCAAAATGTTTGACGACACTCAAATTTGTGTTTAAAAACCTGCATTGAAATTGAGATATTGTTTGCCCGTGAGGTAAACATACCCTAGGTATTTTGAACTTTGAGGTGAAAATCGTAATCATCAATATTTTATACTGTAAGGTAGTGAAATACCTGGGTGCCCGTCGGCGCGCACTGCTTTATGAAAACGCCTCATGACGTTTTTGCGGCGCCTC